GGCCAGGCTGAGGGACCCCCCTCCCCCCCCCCCCGAGTGCACAAATTTTTGTGCACCGGGCCTCTAGTGTCCTTTATAAAAGTATTTTCTTTCCCTCCAGGACATGATCCAGTCAAGGATCATATATTGTATTGAGATGTCACGTCTCTTTCATCTTTTAATCTGGAATACTTCCTTAGCCTTTCTTTGTGTTCTATGACATTCCACTTTTGAAATCTACACACCAGTGATGTTTATGCCCTGATAAGCAGTGTTTTCTCACTTCTAAATAATTTATGGGAGGCTTTTTAAGATCATGCAAATATCCTACTTCTTATCAAACTTTCCCTCCTAGGTTGAGCATCTATTGATGATTCTTGCTCAAACCCATCTTTTTACTACTATTGTTATCAAGTGGTAACTATCCAACTCCATCTCTCCCTCCACATTAAGGAAAAGTTTTCTTTCCCATTTATTTATTTATCTAAATATTCGCTTTCTTTCCGTTTAACCAGTTGTGCTCCTCAGAAATGCTAGGGGCTCCCTCTGAGGGCAAGGGGAAAGCTAAGATGAGAGAGCCCTGGCCTCTCACCCTACTGTGACTAGCGGGTGAACTGCTTAACGTATTAAGGAGCTATGTAAAAATTCATTTTAAAAAAAGTCATCTTCTACTTAAAAAATAGTTGGAAAACCACTATCTTTTTTATTTTTATTTTTATTGATTTCAGAGAGGAAAGGAGAGAGAGAGAGAAACATCAATGATGAGAGAGAATCATTGATCGGCTGCCTCCTGCATGCCCCCTACTGGGGATTGAGCCTGCAACCCGGGTATGTGCCCTTGACTGGAATTGAACCCAGGACCCTTTAGTCTGCAGGCGACGCTCTGTCCACTGAGTCAAACTAGCCAGGGCGAAAACCACTATCTTAAGTAAACATCCTCTTTTCCAACTTTTAAGTATGAGTCAAAAAACTCTGCTCAAAATATTGCAAAAGCAGTTTTTCATTTTCTGAATCCCTCTACAGATAAGATTTCATGGAAGTGTAATGCTGAAAGAGACCTTAAAGGTCTTGTTCTTCAGTGTTTTTCCCAAAATGTGTCTAGGTGGAGGGAGGGGCAAAGAGTGTACCTGGATGAATGGACTTACATGCAGCTTGTGGGAAAAGGGGTCACTTTGTTATCATAATTTCCTCGCCTTGCTCCCTGTGAGAAAGGTGGATCGGAAGCCTTTCATTGACTTTGTGGAAGGAAATGCAGAACCGCTCTCTACTTTACCCACACCACAACCACTTTTCCATTTTTTCCAGCGTCATCAACATCAGCATAGTGTTAGGCAGCCTCTAGGAGTTTTCTATAAATTCTGAACATTCACTAAAGAAGTTTATCAAATAACATAACTGCTTTCCCCTATTAGCAGACTTCAAATTAGCATTCAGGCTGCTATCAATCTTTAGCTGATTTTTGCTTTGCTTCCTGGAAGAATCATTTTACACTCCAGGTTTCTCCTGTTCTATGAGGCATATCCAAGTTGTTCAGTACTTTCTGACTCATAATAGTATCATCCTCTGTTTTGTTTCTTTTATAATATTTATCTGCTGTATAGTAGCATTGTACCAGACATAGAGAGGTAGGTCGGTAGGTGGGTAGATAGATAACTTATTCTACCACTGAATCTTCACACATTAGCCCCATTTGTTAAATATTTATCTTTCCATGTGCCACACACAGTGCTAGGCATATACTCCAGTGTGCATGACATGAGTGAAATTTTTCATGGAGTTTATGTTCTTTTAGGGAGAGACAGGCAATAAAGAAGCAATAAGGTAATTTCAGATAGTGGTTAAATTGTACGCTATAAGCGTCTGTAGACACTAGCAGCGGACCTTCCCCACACACCACGTGAGTCTATAAAAAAAAGTCTTCCCTAAGTGGCAGCCCTGACCAACTTTAAAATCATTTTTCATGAGAATTTTCAGCTGAAAATATTTATCTTTATAATATTTATTTAATATATATTAAATATATTAAAAATATATTTATTTTTATAATATTCATTGCAAATGGATTTTTAAAATTCAAAATATCGTGGCGTGTGGGGATGGTTTCCGTTTTGGATGCGTGGCAGTTAACTGGTTAAATGCGATGAAAATAAATCAGGTTGAGGGTAGGGCTGTCTTCACAGTGGATAGTCATGGAAGGCCCTTTGACGGGTGGTGTGATGTCTAAGCTGAGATCTAAATAGTGATAATGAGCAGCCCTGAGCAGTTGGGAGAAAGGCAGTCAGAGAGAGTTGCTTCCCAAGAGCCAGGTTTCAAATCTTGGTGTGTCTGACTCCACTGTCTCAGCCTCTGGTCACTCCCATTTCTCATCTAGTCTCCTCTTGTTTTCTTGCCATTATATTATTTATTGCTTAACCCAGATTTGGATCTGAGAATTTGGCCAAGTATCCTACATTACTCATTTTAGTGAGGTTGGCTTCTTACTGCAAAACTTAGGACACAATACTTGGCACATCCTCTCCAGAGGGAACTGGTTACAACTCTCTGCAACTCCTAGCTTATGAATGAGACAGTTTCCAAAAAGTCTTCTATAAGCCAGTTGTTTAGAACTGGGAACATACTTTCCCATTGAAA